GTAATGGCCTAGATAGGTTGCACCGGGGCACTGGGGCCTTGGGAGGAGCCCCTCGTTGAGGTTGAGCGAGGGGGAGAGGCATGCTCGACGCATCGAGGCAGCTCCATCTGGGTGAACAGCGCGGGATTAGGAGGAGGCTCGTGGGGGAGGATGCGGCCAGATGTCACCTGGGAGGCTCGGCGGCGCTTGGATCGGGGCGTCAGGGGAGTGGCTTGCGTTGGGGGTCCTGTCGACGGACGGATCCTGCGGCGGAGGTTGGTCGTGGCCACGCAGGGGGGTGGTTGCCGACCCGGATCCGTTGCCGGGGAGCACGCCAGGGCGGTTTCCGGATCGGACCCGTCGCCGGGAGTCCAGGTGGCTGCGGATGCCTCGGGCCTCGCCGGATCCAGGCGGCAGCGAGTTGGAGCGCTACCCCGACCAGCGCCAGAGGCATGGGTTGCGGCCGCGACCTGCACGATGGGAAGGAGAGACCTGCACGAGGGGCTGAGGCGGACGGCGATCTCCGGCCATCTTCAAAACCTGCGACCCTGGCGCCGCGACAGGCTCACCACCTCCCCCAACCTCCTCCTCCGACAGCGGTCACCCCTGGCCACCAAAGCCCGGTGGCTGACCGGGTGCGTGCTCCACCGGATCTGGGCGATGCCGACCAGGAATTGGTGAGGGATGCGGCGACTAGGAGAGGCGCGGTGGGCCGCCCGTGGGCGGCGAAGAAAGGTGGAAGAAGGGGAACCAGGGGGCGATGGCGATTCCGGGAGGAAGAGGGACCACAGCGGCCTCGGTCGTGAGGAAGAGGAGGGGCGACGGCCCCAACCAGGAGGAAGAGGATGCACGGCGGCGCCGGCCAGGAGAAAGAGGGGTGGGGTAGTTGTGGGGCGCCGGGGGTGGGGTGGTGCTGTGGCGCGGGGGTGGTGGTGATGGTGACTTGGTGAGGCGCCGCCGACAGTGGGAGGTGTCGAGAGAAGGAGAAGGTGGGGGTCGGGGGTAGTGGGCTGCCCTGATCGGGTTGGTGGGTGTGTTTTTTTAGCGAACGACAGGTGTTAGCAGAATAAGCGTTTCGATATGCAGAATAAGAGTCTTAAGGGTGTTATTAGAATAGACCTATATATATAGGTAAAATGTTTGGGACACTTAGGTGCATGGGTACCTAGGCCGTTTATGGTAAGCCATTTTTGTTAGTGCATGGCGTGCAAGCAATGAAACAGTACTTTCAATTTTTCATTTGCATGCACTGCTATCAATAATTGCTTTTCAAAAAGATATTGTGTTGATTTCCTAGCAATAATCCCTTTCCAAATATTATGTTGACGTATTATACCTAATGAAAATATACCTATACACGTGTTATTATATCTAATAAAAATATACACGTACCATAAGTATTGTTTAATGAAATATATACATATACCCGTGGTATTATACTGTATGTACTAAGAATATACATATACCTGTTGTATTATACCAAATAAAAATTATATGTGGATATACCTTGGGTATCTCAAATACCTACTAACAAGTCGTAATGAATATATCCAGAGATATCATGAGTATGTAGATACCTCGAAAATATTATGAGTATGGATGTAAATCTGGTATGTATATACTTAAATGAATTAGTCATGAGTATATCATGAGAAAAATTATGTCGGGCGACACTTTTTCACAACTAATTTGAAAATATCATGAGTATGTATATAATTAAAAAAATTAGGATCGTAGTTTTTTTTTACTTTTATTAGGAATGTATGATGCAAGCTGATACCGACACATGATTTGTTACCTTTATTAGGGGTATACGACATACTCACAAATCTCCTTGTATATACCCAGCAAACTTAAAAATAAAATAGTATACCAATGTGTATGCGCGTGTATATACTTATGTGAAAAATGATAGGAAAATATTGTAAGTATCCCGTTAACATGTAGAAAGTAAAAATCTGGTTGCTTATATACCTCGGTACGTGAAATATGGCATCATAGGTATCTAATACCCAAAAAATGATGAAATCGTAGGAAAGAAAATACTATCTTAAATTAATAAAAATGTTGTTTGTGTCCAGCCAACCATGCAACATACGTCAGATTATACAAATATGAAAAAATCTACGTATACCCAAGGACATTTTCTCTCTTCAATTTGTATTATTAACGTCTCTCACAAAGAAGGATGCCATGCATGGGTTTTTTTTTCTTTCTAAAAAAGTGTTAACATGCATGGCGTGTTGGACCATATTTAATGGTATCCATTTATGATTATCTTTATGACTATTTCCAAACTATGTAATTATTTCCAAATCAGTAATTTATGATGGATTGACCTCTAGTGCAATCGAATGGTGGAAAGGCAAGGAGTCTGGGTACCTAGGTGTCCCAAATGGCCATCATATTATATATATGTATATATATTTTTGTGTGTGTGTGTGTATGTGTGTGTGTGTGCGGATTTCATGAATTATGGCCTATTTTCGAAGAAAACATATTTGAAAAACAAAAGTTCTTTGTAAAATCAAAGTTTTCATGTGGTTTTTGCAGAGAGAGGTAGTTCTTACCAAAGATAATTGTAAAACACAATTAGCAGGGTAGCGCAAAATGTTGTTTTTGTGATCAGTGGGAACAATTCATCATTTATTCCTGTCATGCCCGTTCACTAAATTGATTTGGCATACTGTTCATGTTACTTTCAATTTATCACCACCAACAAGCATACCAATTTTCTTTGGTATTTGGTTGGGAGGTATTAACCATAAAGTGAAGGGCCAAATCCGTGCGGGGTTTTGTGCCATTCTTTGGGCAATTTGGAATTGCCGAAATGATTGTGCTTTCTAAAAGATCATATATTCCAAAAAAAAATTGCATGTTATCTTCAGGGCTACGACCAATCCGTAGGTGGCAGCGTGTGGACACGAGGGGGCCTATGGCCTTTGGGTGCAGCCGTTTGGAAATGGTTGCGCGGGGTTTGTTCAACCAATTTGGCTGGCATGCCAGTTGGAGATTATGTAGAGGAGCTATGTAATCTTGTTTCCGATCGAGGTCGTCGTGTCTTGTTGTAAACATTTTGGTACGCGATGACTTGGATGTTCTTTGCGTTTAATAAAATTGTTGTGTGCATCATACTCCCTCCATTCCTAAATATTTGTTTTTTTAGAGATTTCAAATGGACTACCGTATACAAATGTATATATACATATTTTAGAGTGTAGATTCATTCATTTTGCTCCGTATGTAGTCACTTGTTGAAATATCTAGAAAAACAAATATTTAGGAACGGAGGGAGCATGAGGCCTTGGGTAATCCCCTTTTCGAAAAGAATATCTTACGAACTTTGTTTTGACTATGATCTTACACTCTTTGTTGGTATATTATAAAAATCATATTAGCAGACAGTAACATTATTTCTAAGGAATAAAATCCATGCTTTACCCGTAAAAAAAAGAATCCTATATTGGACAATGTGAAAAACCAAACACGCTGAGTAATTTGGAATGGATGGAGAGAAAGGAGTACAATTTATATATAAGTATCATTGTAAAATATATGTGGCTATAGGTAGTTGATTTTGACTCGTAAGGTCACCATTGCCTAGTTTGAGATCTTGAACACGATGTGGCCAACTGGGCGGCCATGCATGCTCTTGTTTCTGGCCACCCAAATTCATCTCTCTTTCTACATGCTGGAGATCCACATCTTTTTTTGTGCGCCACTTTAAACGACACCACCACCAAATTCACATGTACCAAGCCCACAATAAGGGGTAAACCATTCCTTTGCCATGTTATTAGCCAGAGTAGCTGGATCCATTATTTCAAACGAAATACAAATTTGAACATGACATGAGCCCACATTAAGATGGCAGGATCAGTTACAGGAGGGCATTTATCCACAGCCAGCGTTACCAAAGAGCAACGTATGCACAACGAAAGCAATAATAATGGGAAATAAAAGTCTATTTCCCCTCTTTTTTTTTCTTTTTTTTCCTACGTCGCCGAACGGAATTATGCAGTCATGCACGAGGAGGTGGCTTTTGGACGTTGGCGCCCATTGTGTGAGGTGTCAGTTGGAGGGATTTACGGGGGGCTCAGCTCCATCCGAAAATGAGTTCGTATAATAGAGAGAGAGGAAGCTTCTTCCTCCACGCTCATATATATCCTACTACCACAGTGCAGTTCGTGCCGGACGAGAAAGGAGGACGGAGGGAGAGGCAATTGGGTTGCTGAATCTGGTAAGTGGACCCTATTCTCTCCATGCAAGTCTACTCTGAGTTCTTCGATGGTGTTCTTGGAAATACAGAGGTTTCATCATTTTGTCATGGCCTCAAATTTTGCGAGAGTTGAGTTCGAACCTCAAATCAATTTCTTGTTCTTTGATTCTCCAAAAGCTGGTCCTCCTCCATGTTAGTGGAGCTTTGTGATTCTGTTTGTTCGTTTGAGTATGGGAGTAGGAAAATTTGACTGAACTCATCTTCTTCTTTTCTTTTTTGCGGGGGGACTGAACTCATCTTCTGCCTTGTTCTATGTTCTTGTCTTCCTTTTTTTTCAAAAGAAGTAATGTTTTATGTTATAAAAATCTTCACTAATGCTCAACAATAGTTTAGCCTTAGTTTGTTATTGAAAAAAGAAAAATGGAATTCAAAGAAACCAGTAGAGCGCACCCTTAAATTGAGGAACTAGCGAAGTTTTATGTGTTCCCTTTGAGAAGTTTTTTTGGGCATGCGTTTGAGAAGTTCTTGGATGTTTACCTCTCAGTGATATGATAGATGTTCATCCATCCATTATCCCCTTGCACGGAATTATCAGTCTTGACTCTTGAGATGCACCAACTATATTAAGAACTACCCAAATGCAAATTTTCCATGGTGCAGTTTCTTTACAAGTACTAACCACGTGAAACAAAACTGTGTTCTCGCAGAAAACAATCTGATACGCCCAAACCCTGACTGCTCAAATTCCTCCGTACAGTCCTCACCACGAATTTGAGCAACTTCGGTGCAAATTCTCCGAGACATGGGCGAAATTCCAGAACCAGAGGTTCCCAAGCCCACGCCGGAGCCATCGTCGTGGCTCAGCCTGAGAGTCTTCTACCTGCGGCTGAGCAGGTGCGAGCTGGACGAGACCATGCTGGACACCCTGAGCATCACCCACGCCCCGCTCACCTCCGACACCGTCCTGGAAGTGAACGGCGACAGGCCAAGAAGCACCGACAACAACGGCCACGTCTCGTGCCCCCTCCGCAGGGACCGCGTGGACGCGGCGTCGCGCGAGGCCTCCTTCGTCAGCACGGCGACCGTGAGGATGGCCGGGAGCGTGCGCTTCGAGGTCCGCGTCGGCAGCGGCGAGAGGCTCCTCGTGGGGATCATGGAGATGTGCGACGTGGCGGAGGAGAAAAAGAAGGGGTGGGTCATGAAGTGCCAGGTCGCGATGCAGCGGTGCTCGGGGTTCCTGAAAGGCGGCGGGGAGGACGCGAAGTCGCCGATGGTCGAGGTGTACGTAGCGAGCCTGTTCCGGGGCAGCCCGATCGTGTTCACCAAGGCGATGAAGCTGCGGCTCAGGAGGACGCGCCAGGTCAAGGCGCCTTTCATGGAGCCCATCCCCGAGTGCGGCGAGCACGCCGACGACGACGCGAAAGAAACGCCGCCTGACCAGAAGCATGATCCACAGGTGCGTAACGCGTCACAAATTTATTTTTTTCGTTTCATCCTGGATTGATTGATTGCATCGGTGTTGCTGAAACGCATGAACTGCATCTTGCGCGCAGGAATCGGAGTACAGGTGCTACAAGCCGGAACCGGGCATGGACGACGTCGACTACGACAGCTTGTACGCGAGATCGGCTGGCCTGGACCATGGCCTGGACGGCGAGGACAGCGAGCTCTCGTGGTTCACCGCTGGCGTCAGAGTGGGCGTGGGCATCAGCCTGGGCATCTTCCTCGGGGTCGGCATCGGCGCTGGACTCCTGGCCCGTTCCTACCAGTCCACCTCCAGGACTATGAGGCGGCGGCTGATCTCTGGCCTGCTCTGACTCTGAACGGTAGCATTCCAACATGTCACAGAGCAAGGGCACAGCAACTCTGCTTCTCGCCAGACGTGACGCGCCTGGAGATTACTCTGCTGGATGTGTTTGTAGATCCTCTTGCCTGTTACTATATGGAAGCACTTGCCTTGCCCTGCTGATGTTCATCGTTCTGCTAATTCAAATGTTCCCTCGCGTTGCAAACTTGCTACCAAGCATGCTGCAGTTAATATTGTGCTGTCACTTCCGGCAACTACGAGGCAGCTGCTTTGTTACATACATGCAGATAAAGGTGTCCTCAGTTGCCACGCCCGCGTATACTGCTATATACCGTATACGAGACCATCGATGGTGCTGTCAAGAACAGATGTAATATCATCCATTGTTTAGCCCAGTCCATCATGGCAACTAGATCGGGATCGCGCCTTGGCGCAAGGGTGCCGGTCCAACATTTCTATGCACACAATAAGAAGCCTCTTAACAATGCATGAACATTGAAAGCATGTTTCACGACAGGTTTAGCACCAAATATCTTACGCATAGAAGATACGACAACACGTAGTAGCTTACAGACAATTTGCAACTCTGCATAGAGAACTTAAGTCTTTGGCATAACATAGACCAGTAGAAATGATGACATGACACATCCAAAAGAAAATGCAGCGTACAGAAGTTGAAGTGCGATCACTCCCAACCCTGTAATAAAGCATCAGATCAAAGACGTAAGAACACCAACAAGCAACAATTCAATGTACATTCTTTATCATAGTTAAAAGTAGCTCACAACAAGTACATAAGATACGGAATCAACTTCTTACTGAAAAAAAAACATGAAAAACACATGCATTTATTTGTTTGGCCAGACCTTTTGCCCAAAGAAACTGAATCTCTCATCACAACAAAGTTCAAGTAAACTGCAAATTTGCAGTAGAGCAAACCCTGACATTTAACTATTTTGCTCACAGTTTTGGGATCACGAATTTAGTGAATTTAGTAATTGGATATTTATCACCCCACTTTTCACCATGTAGTTTCCTGTTTTGTTCTACTTCAGGGGCAAAACAATAAGTATCACAGGATTGAAAAGTATTCTAGAGACAACCACTCACCTCCTCCACGCTGCTCGGTAGAGGGAGCCAATATGGCACTGCAGATTTTCAAGTTACCAAGGCCATCAGGAACAGACAAATGTATGTGGTTGAATAATAAAAAAATAACAAAGAACATTGCCATAGGGACTGAGCCGACCTACTGGTGCTACTTCTCACCATGGTACACATGGCAGCCAGCCCTGGCATCTACGGAAATGAAAGGAAAGTGCAAAAAAGGTAAGAACATAGAAAAGCCGGAAAAGTAAGAACAAAGTGTGACTAATATCTACTTATCCCAGGTTAACAATTTGGGTTCGATGAGAGTGTGAGTGTATGCTCTCGGTTTCTTCTAGATTAATAGAATGGACATGACAAACAAGACACTGGCATATTTTTCAAATGACTACTAATATTGAGTACTGCATTAGATACTTTCAGATTATGCTAAGAGACCAGACCATGTACAACTACCTGGCTAATGACGATTGCCTACCTTCAGAATTGCCTATTGCCTTGAGCTCACACCAAGATTAGTACCTGCAAATAACACATACACAATTTAGTGTCAAGGCAAAGACAAAGAAAAAAATTGAAATAAGGGAATATAAATACTCATTATGTAACAAAACCTAATAACCAGTCGTAGATGCTAAAAAACTGTTTGTCTAAGTGTTCAAACTGAGGACTTTTGAAGGTCACCTGCTCTGATAGGTAAAGGCGCTGACGATTCTTATAGGTAGTCTGCTCAAACAGAAGACCCCACCAGTTCCCAATAAAACCAATAGATCAACAAATAATTAGTTGCAGAACCACTATTGAAGGCAAAACTGAACCACTATTTAAGTCAAAACTGCTGCAAAACCGAACCAGCATGCTTTCAAACAGAATGCCACCAATCTGGAACATTATTAGCTTCAAAGTACCCGGTGGTGAGTAAGAATGCACCAGAGCCGATGCTCAAAAAGGAATATCATCAAATCATGCGGAGCGGTCTTAAACTCTACTCCATTGTAGACAAACATCAAGTGATTGAAATGCAGCAGAGTCCCTGCAGTACTTACCTAGCTAGCTGAGAGCGAGTGATGCCCAGGCTGCATCATCGGTGAGACAAGAGGTGCACTTTGACCGGGAGGTGTACCCCAGGGTTGAGAGCTCAAGAAGGAACAGATGCTGGTT